TACTAGTTACTTTAGTACCATTTAGTTACTATGGTACGTTACATTAGTACTATTTAGTTACTACGGTACCAGTTACTTTGGTATCATTTAGTTACTATGGTTCCAGCTACTTTAGTACCATTTAGTTACAATGGTACTAGTTACTATGGTACCAGTTTCTATGATACTATTTAGTTACTAAGGTACCAATTACTATGGTAACAGTTACTATGGTACCAGTTACTTTAGTATCATTTAATTACTATGGTACCAGTTAGTGTGGTACTAGTTACTTTTAGTTCCATTTAGTTACTATGATACCAGTTAGTGCGGTACCAGTTACTATAGTACTAGTTAGTGTGGTACTAGTTGCTATGGCAACAGTTACTATAGTACCAGTAACTATGGAACCAGTTACTATGGAACCAGTAACTATGGTACCAGTAACTATGGTACCAGTTACTATGGTACCAGTTACTATGGAACCAGTTACTATGGAACCAGTTACTATGGAACCAGTTACTATGGAACCAGTTACTATGGAACCAGTTACTATGGAACCAGTTACTATGGAACCAGTTACTATGGAACCAGTTACTATGGAACCAGTTACTATGGAACCAGTTACTATGGAACCAGTTACTATGGAACCACACTGAGAGACCTTTTGCACCGTAACAGACTTTCGACAGACGGTTGCGGAGCATTCTAGCGGTCAGCTATGAAACTACGTTTTTGGTCTGCAGCCGTACAATTTTTGGAGCGTAGCTGTCCAAAAAATTGACGGCCGAAAGGTTCATTTTCATTTTTGGGCAGTCACGATACAAAATTTAGAATGCAGCGCACCAAAACCTATAGTGGCGCTGCAGTCACACACGTAGTTCTGATGCGGTGCAAAAGGTCTCTCAGTGCAGTTACTATGGAACCAGTTACTATGGAACCAGTTACTATGGAACCAGTTACTATGGAACCAGTTACTATGGAACCAGTTACTATGGAACCAGTTACTATGGAACCAGTTACTATGGAACCAGTTACTATGGAACCAGTTACTATGGAACCAGTTACTATGGAACCAGTTACTATGGAACCAGTTACTATGGAACCAGTTACTATGGAACCAGTTACTATGGAACCAGTTACTATGGAACCAGTTACTATGGAACCAGTTACTATGGAACCAGTTACTATGGAACCAGTTACTATGGAACCAGTTACTATGGAACCAGTTACTATGGTACCAGTTACTATGGTACCAGTTACTTTAGGACCACTTAGTTACAATGGTACCAGTTACTTTAGTACCATTTAGTTACTATGGTACCAGTTACTATGGTGGCCGATTTTTTTCTTGCTTGTAATTATAAAAATAAATTTTTTAAAATTACAAATATTGAACCATCAGTCATATTAATAAGTAAATTTCTCCAGTCGAAGTGAATATATTTATAAAGTCTCACCGAGAAACTTTCTTGCTAATTTTTTCCAACCTACTCGGAATTTTTGGTATGAGTATGTGTATGTGGGTGTGTGTGTATGTGTGTGATATTAAAAAATAATTGGATTTCGATTTCATTGTTGGGAACGCGCTGGTTGGTGCAACGGGTTATAGGCTCGCAGACCGGAATAATGGACAGTCGTTAAATTTAATTGGCACATAATTATTGGAACTCGGAACTAGATAGCCGAGAGTCGCAATTCCATTGCGGCTTTAATATCGAGAAACTCTGTCGCAAAAGGACGAACAGTCGCACCTATGAGAGAAAAGGTGGAGGAGGGAAGAAGTCGGCACAGCAGTCACTATATCGGGCATAACGAGTACGAAATTAACCGATTTGATTTCAGTTCTCCCCTTTGCACGTCTCGAGCCTTCGTCATATTTACAAAGTTACATTATTATTATTTTATTTTTGAAATCTCTCTCTCTGACTGCATTGCGTCGCATGTCAATATTGTCGACAATTCAATCATTCTGTCCTTTGTAATCGAGTTTACATCTTTGACTCTATGAAATTGCGACAATCCAATTTTGTTATTAAGCAGACAAATGAAAATCTCATTTAGTTCTTTGTTTTTCTATTTATTTTTAATATTGTTAGAATTTTTGACGATTTTGAAGAAATATTGATCGAAAATTATTTATTAATAAATTGTAAACTAGTTCAGTTTAGAAATTATGTTTTGTTTATATTTATATACAGAAAATTTCGAAATTAGTTCATAATATTGAGCAATATTAGATATTAATTAGCAAATTTGTCGAAATAGATTGACGTGAGATATATAAATATATGAAACTGCAAATAACTTGTTCAATAAAATTGGCAGGAGTCCTTGATATTAGAATGGATACACTTCAATTTAGAAATAACTGATCAAATAGATGGAAAATACTTATGTAATCAAAACTTTTTCCACGAAATCAAACAATGAAAATTATTATTATATTGTGTACATTAGTTTTGAGTGCTTCCAGTAATTATTGAGGTAGTTAATTAGTTTCAACTAATATTATATAAAATTATCCAACATACATATAATCTATAATTTATAACTATGAAATTATTAAAAATGTAATAAATAAAAATTAATCTACTCTAAAATTTACGTGAAGTAGTATAGATTAGTTAATAATGATTCGTGAAATATTACAAATCCATTAAAATAATTAAAAAAATATTAATAGAAGAAAAAATGTGATCGTTCATTAGAAAAGTGTGAACAAGATTAAACTATGTGCCGAGACTGCGAGTAATAACATTGCAATAAATAAACTTCCGATATCATCTTTAATTTCGATAATTATTTTTCGTAATTAATTAAGAATAGGATTTTACAGTATGATAACAGTCCAACGCAGGACATGAATAGAGGACAAAAGACAAGATTGCACAAAGTGATAAATTTATATTTATATATATTTAAGTAAATAACTAGGAGTTACGTTATAAATTGAATAGTGTGAAAAAAGATTAAATGATTATTATTCATCATATATGATTATTTTATGAAAAAAATAGTTGGGACAACTATATATACATATATAAATTCCGGATATCCATTTTTTATGGTTGTCACATTTAATTAAAATTTTCCTGATTAGAAAACTTTGATTCAATTTTCAAATATTACAAAAAAATGTTTACCTTGTTCCTCACTGAATGACGATGATAATGAAAATTGATTTTCATGATTCAGAGAGAAAATTTTTTGTAAAAAAAAAAATTTATTGTAATTTTTTTTTGCTATTGCGAAACATGCAATTTTTAAAAACGTGCTTTCTGTGCAATTTTTTTTTTATTCACAAACGTTTTATAGATATATTAATTAAATTTTCCCAAATTATGCATATCCTGCTTTTCTAATTTACTTTATCAAGAGATTAAACTCTTTTCTAAAAACTTTATTGATTGCAATTTTTTAAAAAATAAATTACTTCATTTAGAACAATTATTTCGTGTAAAAACAAAATTTTATAATTTTTTTTTTTCAATAAATTTAAAAAATTGTCAATTTCATTTTGCCTATATATGAATTTTCCTCGTGCATTATTTGTCCGGCAGTTTTTTTTTTTCAAGATTTTTCACAACTCGGTCACGAGGTCGATTTTAACAGAATGTCAATAGTTTAGAGAACAGATTTTATTGCTGGGACTGTTGTTTATTACTTTAAAGCCCATTAGAGAAAACAAACTTCCAGTAGGTCAATAAAATTTCAAAACGAGTTTAATATGTAAAACTTTTTATAAAGAGAAAAAAATTTATTGCCGACAAAATATTGAATAGGAGTGAAGTAAAAAAAAAAAAATTTGGAAAAAATATTATTTCCCTCAAATATAGTTATGGCAAAAACAATTTTTTAAATGAAGCATTTGATATTGCATATTGATTTATTAAAATTTAATTTAATTTTAAAATAAAAAAATGACAAAATAAATTTATTTTTTTTCAAAAAAATTTTGCAGGATTTTTTTTTAGGATAAATCATTACTTGTTTACTTTAAGCATCAAGTTTCTGATTTAACAAGGAAAATAGTGTGCGGGTGCTAGGAATTTTGTCGACAGTAGGGGCACCAACACAGCGTGACCACTAAAACACCTAACAACCAACAACAGCAGCCAACATCGAACACCGATAAACCAACGAACTATACCAACCACAAGTCACATTGTAACGGAACTCACAATCAGTGAACAGTGAAGACACAATCGAATAATGTACATATATATATATTTATAGTGAGAATACAGAAGATACTATATGTAAAACATGTACATATAAATATATATACTAATAATTGTAATATTGATGGGTACGTACGTGAACTCGAGGAATGCTTAAAACGCCGATGCAGCAGTCCATATTTCTCTCTGCTTTGTTCGCTAAATTCAATGATTGTAATCAATATTATTTAATTTCAAAATACAACAAACGTTATATATTTTTCTCTTAAAATTGAAAATTAAAAAAAAAATCTCATTCAATAAATAAAAAAAAAGATTCAATTTTCAGAAGGCTTTTTAAACTAGTCTTTAAATAATTTTTAAAATCTTTATTAATTATCACTCTGTTTAATATTTTGAATTAAATATTTTTTCAAAAAATAATTTGTATACTTATATTAATTATTGTTTATATTATTACTTTTTTATATATAAGATTTTTGACTACTTTGACTAAACATTTTTTTTCGAGGCAGGAACAAAGCATCCCTCGAATCACGTTTGGTGTAATAATCTCGAACGACTGACAACACTCAGGATTAAAAAATAATTTTTAAAGATCTTCTCGAATCATGCAAATAGCTTTTTTTTTTTAAATAGAATAATAGAAGAAAATTTAATTTTGCAATTTTATTATAGATTTATTTTTGTTTTAACAATTTGAATAAAAATAGATAAGAATTTTGAATATATTAATGTGCGATTCGAGAAACAGCTTCAAAGATAATTGAAAATTAAAAAAGGGAACATAAGAAGGACGACACCTTGAGAGACACCTATTAGGGGAATGTGACGTACCACATAAAGTATAACCACAAGAAGAAGAAGAAGAGATGAAGGAGGTGTGCGGCGTCCCCGGCCAGCCGGTCGCCCGTCACACCCTGAAACAGAATAATATTGTCACTTCCATCAAAAAAATTATTGCACTCCTTGCAATTAATCAAGTCCATCCAACTTCATTCCTTTAACATAAGTCATATTACATTTATTAATTCTAGTATTATAGGAATAAAAAATTTTTTTTTAGTATATTTTACAGCCTCTCACTTATTTGACATGAAAATTAAAATAATTATTATTAGATTGGATTAATAAATTAATTATATTACATATTATATTATTTTCTACAACTAATTATAATATATACATGTGTAATTTATAATACCATGGCCCAAATCGGGGCCGGACCAGGTCGCCCTATTAGGGAATGAAACGCCGCGCCTGATGGGGCCCTGATTAGGAAATCTACATTCTCTGGCCGCCCTAATCTGTCCCTGATTAGGTGTGGCGTTTCATTCCTTACTAGGGCCCTGGTAGGAAATGAAACGCCACATCTGATTAGTGCCATATCAGGGCGTCCAGAAAATGTGTATTTCCTAATCAGGGCCCCATCAGGCGCGGTGTTTTATTTCCTAATAGGGCGACCTAATCCGGCCCCGATCTGTGCCCTGGCAAAATTTCTGCAGGGATGGTAATCATGTGAGAAAAAAAAACAACGTTAGTCCGATCTGCATAAAATTATTCTAACATTTTCAATTTAGAAAGAATAATATTATAAAGAACCAAAATGTTATGAATAAATAAATTATAAATAATATAAAAATCATAAATAACTAAAATAATGATAAAACCTTTAAACAAAAACAATTAACAAATAAATGAAATTACACAAAATTTATATCTTTTATCACTTTTAACATAGACTAAAAATCAAATAAATTTGCTTTAACGGTTATAATTTATTTAAATAAAATTTAATAACTATATATATACAATAGTATAGAGTAAAATAGTAAACTGGGCTCAGTGGCAATCTAGTGATTTGTTACAAAAGCTTGTCTTTATCGTAAGTAAACTGTGAGCCCATCCTGATCAAGGAGTAAAATTGTATCGCCTATGTGGGATAAAGGGAAGGATTGCAATAAAATTCGAATTCCATGCATAACAAGAAGGTTATCCCCTATCTTGAGAGAATGCGCTTTCTGTGTAATGCAGTATCAAGAAAAAAAAAAATTTGTATCGAAGCTTAACTAACTTGTGGACTGTCGCCTTTGAAATACAGTAAACAAATGGAATCGAGTCACAGTATAATCGATATCTATATATATAAGATATATTTTATGACATTTTTTTGCAAATTTTAATTTTTAATTTTATTGAATATTGCATATTGCAAAGAAAACTTAAAAATATATTGAATTAAAAAAACACTTAATTTTTAATATTGAAATTTAAAATGTCATTTTTACCAATAATTCCATCGTCATGAAGAAATTGGTAAAATGAGAAAGAGTTTATAAATATAAAATTGATTCGTAATATGTCAGAGTATGATGGGAATAATTAATTTATCATTGATTTATGAATATATCGACTGTTGAGACCAGCTATAACGACCATATTTAACGTGTGCTGATGCTAATTACTGTCAAAATTTAACATTTTAAAAAATCTCGATATCCATGTATCTAATTTTATCTCATATCAACTATGCATATAAATCCTTATAAATATATATAATCACTCATCAAGTTTCTTTAAATCATTTTAAAAAAATTGGCTATTATATTTAAAATAATTTATTACAAATTTTTTAATAATTTTAATATAATAGTTTTGTATCTATTTTAAATTATATTAACAGATTAGAAAGAATTTTTTTTTTTCAAAACAAAAATTGAATAGATTTTGCATATAAAATTTATCATTTACTTGAACGTACAAGACTCACGCGAATTAATTATAATATCAGCTGCCATTTCATTTGCCTGGGCAAGTTTCCAGACTTGGCAGTAAAATAAAGCTCACATATTCTCAGGCTCAGGCCAAACATTGGAACAAATTGTTTCTTTCCCTTTCCATGCGAAAAGTTATATTTGGAATTTAATGATTTTTATCACTTGTTGCTGATAATATTTTTTTTGGATTAATGAAGTAAATTACTTGTATTCTTTATAGTACGTGTAACTGAAATTATATGAGAAAACAAAACTTTTTTTCACTAATGTAAAAACAAATACAAAATTTTATTTAATTTCAGATTAAATAATTTTTTTATCGATAGCAGACAATTTAATTGAAGTGAAAAATAATGTTTAATTATTATATGTACTACATAAATAATGAGGTAGGTTACTTTGTAGATATTTAACTGAAAATTCGTGACTCTATTCTTGATTATCGAGTAGGTTAGAGTATTTTGAAATGAATAACGGGAATGCGTCATGGCGTCATATTACACGCCAGTCCTCGTCATAAATAGAATCCCAGAGGATTACATCGCGGAGATAGAAAATGGATGGGATGAGTTGACGTGGTAATGCTGGTTATCATCGTGCTGATTGCACATACCCCTCTTTATCTATCTCTCTCACTCTGCCACTATTATAACTACCATTGAAACCAACAATCCTCAATGGTAGTATTTTAACAGTGCTTTCATTAAACTACATTTCAAGTTCATGATAATTATTATTATTGTTTAAGTAAGTCTTTAAAAGTTACTTAAGTCATTTGGGAAAAGGAATTTTGCCTCCATTGCAGGGTTTACTGGCTTCCCAAGATAATGTTTACTACCATGGAACGGTAACGAACCGAACGAACAGTATAAGAACCGGTAACGGTTCCTATAGTCGCCATGGTAACGGTTGCTCTAGTAACTAGTACCATAGTAAGTAAATGGTACTAAAGTGACTGGTATCATAGTAACTAGTACCATAGTAACTAGTACCATAGTAACTGGTACCGTAGTAACTGGTACCATAGTAACTAAATGGTACTAAAGTAACTGGTACCATAGTAACTAGTACCATAGTAACTAAATGGTACTAAAGTAACTAGTACCATAGTAACTAGTACCAAAGTAACTGGTACCATAGTAACTAGTACCAAAGTAACTGGTACCATAGTAACTAGTACCAAAGTAACTAGTACCATAGTAACTGGAACCATAGTAACTGGTACCAAAGTAAGTAAAAGGTACTAAAGTAACTGGTACCATAGCAACTGGTACCACACTAACTGGTACCATAGTAACTAAATGGTACTAAAGTAACTGGTACCATAGTAACTAAATGGTACTAAAGTAACTAGTACCAAAGTAACTGGTACCATAGTAACTAGTACCAAAGTAACTGGTACCATAGTAACTAGTACCAAAGTAACTAGTACCATAGTAACTGGAACCATAGTAACTGGTACCAAAGTAAGTAAAAGGTACTAAAGTAACTGGTACCATAGCAACTGGTACCACACTAACTGGTACCATAGTAACTAAATGGTACTAAAGTAACTGGTACCATAGTAACTGGTACCATAGTAACTAAATGGTACTAAAGTAACTGGTACCATAGTAACTGGTACCATAGTAACTAAATGGTACTAAAGTAACTGGTACCATAGTAACTAAATGGTACTAAAGTAACTGGTACCATAGTAACTAAATGGTACTAAAGTAACTAGTACCATAGTATCTAGTACCAAAGTAACTGGTACCATAGTAACTAGTACCAAAGTAACTAGTACCATAGTAACTGGAACCATAGTAACTGGTACCAAAGTAAGTAAAAGGTACTAAAGTAACTGGTACCATAGCAACTGGTACCACACTAACTGGTACCATAGTAACTAAATGGTACTAAAGTAACTGGTACCATAGTAACTGGTACCATAGTAACTAAATGGTACTAAAGTAACTGGTACCATAGTAACTAAATGGTACTAAAGTAACTGGTACCATTGTAACTGGTACCATAGTACCAGTTACTATAGTAACGGTTGTTATGGAAACGGTTTTATGAAAACAGTTGCCTTGGAAACGTTTGACATGGAAACAGTTACTAGGGAAACAGTTGCTATGGAAATTTTCCATGTCAACCATTCGAGTGTACGATGAACGGACGTCAAAGCAAAATTATGAGACTTTCGGTCCTGAGCCAGTAAACCCCAAAAACAACCTTTTCGTCCTTCACGATTACTTTTTTTTAAATTAAAAAATAAAAATTATTACGAAAAAAAAGAATTCTGTCGCGGCGGCAATGATAAAAAGCTACCATATTGAAATGTTAATTAAATTTTCACACGAAAGAGTGGATTTCCTTGATCTGCCTTGTTCCGGGGTCGCAATAATTTGCAGTGTTTGCTTATACATATATGTGTGTACAGCCTTTACTGTCATATCTCACTTTGCGAAATATCGTTAACTTCTCAAAGTCCCTTTAAACGTTGGTAATGGTTAGTTACGCTTGGGAGGGTTCTCGCACGTAACATAAACAGTTGCATTGCGTGAGTGTGTATATATATATATATACGTGTTTGCCAGTGAATATAAGGAGATCATTGGTAGGTGTGGCTCATTCGCCGAGATATAACCGGCTATCAGTTTCCTTCGAGATCGCTTTCATGCCTATGAACACGCTCGAATTGTGGGCTCGTGCCTACGTCGCATAATATATATATATATTCTCTAATACCACGATATTAGTTTGCGATCTAAACGCACACATCTTATAGATCTCTTTTGATATTTCTCAAATTTATTAGAGCATGAAATGACAAAATTTATTTGAAATATACAATTTTAAATTGCCCTCGAAATATTTTCTATAAAGAATTCAAAATAAGGAATTGTTTTAAAATTTTTAAATTGAAATTTGGTTCAAGAACGATACGAAATTACGGGTTTCTCTCTATATATATATAATTTATAAACTCCTGACTGTAAATCATTATTAGAGTGATTGTGGACGTGACATTTCAAATGGCATAACCTGCAATAGTCAGTTTGCAGACGTGGCATTATATCGCGAGTAGACCAACTAAATGGCTGGGAAATAGTTGTATACCACTTAGGCTGTCATGTTCACCATTGTGCTTTCACTTTGGTATTAAGTAAATTATGTCAAAATAAATTATATAAATAAATACTCCCAAGCACAATTTAAATATCGGTTTCTTCTAAAAAAAAAAAAAATGAATCACTTTTCCAATAAACGTTGAGTCACCATTTGTTTGTGTCTTACAATTTGATCGAGGTCGCACAACAGTTAAAGGGTAATTAAACTTTTGCCCTTTCTATTGTATTATTATAAAAATTATAACTTTCGAAAGAAAATACTTGAGAAAAATATTCTGTTGCAGTTAAATCATTTTGGAGTATATAATTTAGAGAAGGACTTTTTTTTTGATCTTGATTGTAATGCGGTTACTGATATTCGAGTGGATCGTCTACAATGCGAGCTTTGGCATTTGCACCCTAGTATATACCAGTATCAGTATTATCCCCTAGTGTTTCTGTGCTATTGGATATGAGCCGCGTTCCCTACATCTGCATCAGGCAAAGCTTGACTATAGTAAATTACACGTTGACTAAAGCTGACAACTGCAATGCGTGCACTCTGCCTGCCCTTCTGCAAGGGACGTCGTCTGTTTATGTGCCCGGTGAGTTCGGCTATGTAAACCGTACATATAGTCCATGAATTATTGAGAGAACCTTTAATAAAGACTCTCGACATCTCTCGCCAAATACATATAGTCTCCAGTCAAATACACACTGCTCTAAGGAATTTTTCCAATTAATTTTTTGTCGACAAAAAAAAATATGTTGATGTAACATTTTTTTATTATAAAATTTGAAGATAAATCAGTAAAAGATGTTTTAGGAGATGAGAGTGAAATAGACAAGCTTCCGTTTTTTTTTTTTTGAGATAAGAAGTCGGATCTCTGTGAAAAGTTCATAAAGATTTCCAGGGCGGTATCCAAGGAGGCCGTAAATGCATCGCATCCCCGTATATCTTTTCTTTCCCGGAAGGCGGCGTATTACAAAATCCCGCCACACACACCGCTAGTGACTGCCGACTGAATATCAGTGCCAAACACTAGTAGTTATGTATATTAGGGGCAGTAAAACTGATGCAAATTTATTTCAAAATACCAAGCGGCCCCCGTAAAGTTGTTTTAAAACTACCCTCATAAAACGATTTGAAACCTTTCCTCGGCTGGTGAAACTCTATTTCCGCCTTTTTGTATTTAAGCATTATTATATGACAAGCTGATCAGAAAAAAACTTATTAATTACCCTTGTAGAAATTGCCCTATCAGAGCCCTAATAGAGAATGAAACGCCACATCTAATCAGGGACAAATCAGGGCGATCAGAAAATGTGGATTTCTTAATCAGGGCCACATCAGGCGTGGCGTTTCATTCCCTAACAGAGCAGCCTGATCCGACCCCAATCTGGGCCCTGGCAAAATTTTTGCATCTCAAAATATTCGAGATATGAAAATCATTTGTCAGTATACGAAAATTCAGTTCCTTTTTTTAGAATCACTATTCAAATTCTCATTTACATACGTCAATTACTGTTTACATTTTGCTCATTATTATGTTTTATTTGACCGAGTCACGCACCGGTCATTGTCTCAGTATAGAAAATTGTGTTACACACTATATTCACTTACGTCACATATAAGCATGAAAACCGGTTTTGAACAAATCTACTAGAAATTCCCGTGATTATTAATAATCAAGTATTTTATTGCATGGAATTGGTTTAAAGTTACATAATCGAAGTATTTTCTGAAATCTAAACGACTTCTTACATTAATACACGTATTATTTAAGCCAACGATAATGGCAGTTTTTATATTTCTTTTCTTATTATGTGTGCTTGTCACTTGTGGAATGCTGGGAAACATATATGTGTGAAAGATTTATCCAGATACTTTTTTCTCGAAAAGAATTTTGAATTTTCCTTTAAATTCATGATTAATGATTTTAAATTATTTTAAAAAACATGATTGATTATTGCATTAATCAATTTTTAGTTGAATTATGCGTTAAAATAAGTTGCGAATAATGTTAATTAGGTAATTGCAACATGTACTTGACAAAAAGAAAAAAAGTAAAATATATATCTTTAGGTGATAATGTAGAGAATGTTAAATAACTGCTAGGAAGGATTTTTTTTTTAATATTAATAACATCCGTTTAAAAACGATTTAGTTTCGATATTAATATAATTTACATGATATACTACTTTTTTTAGTTTAATCATTTTTAAATCATTATGGAGATTATTATGGGAACTATTCTTAAATAAAATGATTTTTAAACAGGAAACTTGTGTATCCTTCCAATTTCATTTACATATCATCCAATGAAAAATTATATATCGCGACATTTTGCAATAATTTTATTTTATATCGCGTCATGAAAACTAGATCCATTATCGCCTGCATCAGTATTTTCCAGTCCAGCAGTTCCGCGACCTTCAATGCACTGCATTATATATCTATATGTATATCTGATGCTTGAATCCTTGATGGAGAACTAGTCAAATCATTCAATTTCTTCCGCAATCTATAATCATGATGCAAAACTCTTTGCAATGTTTTAAAAATGAAAAAATATTTTCAAAAATTATAGTATTTATTAACATATTATTAATATTTATTAGATACTTGTGTTTATTTTTTTAAATGTTAAAAATAATATTCAATTAAAAGTATAATAATTGAAACTTATTTTGTTTCAAGAAAATAGGGCTTTGTAATTCAAATCTTTTTTACTTTTTTGTATCTGGTTTCTATAAACTTAAATAAGCAGTACAAAAAAATTATTTTTATATTACACTAATCGTATTTTTCTCTAGAAATTGCAAAATTAATCTTGATATCTTGCTTCATATTGTTCTTATTATACCCTCAGGACTTTTTTCCTATTATAATAACTATCCATAACCTTTTCTGACTGTACAATCTTAATCACTGTCCGACAAAAATAATTTTTTTTTTCTCTGACCATGGGATAATTCTGATCAGTTTCGATAGATTTTCTCACGATGGTTACCAAATTTGCTAAGAAAAATTGAACCTAAATTAAAACTATTTTAAACATATTTTAGAACTACATTGAACTATATTGAACCTACAATTGACCTACTTTGAAACTACATTGAACCTAAAATAAAACTATTTTGAACCTATATTAGAAGTACATCGAACTATATTGAACTTACAATGGACCTTATTGAACCTATATTAGACCTATTTTTAAAACTACATTGAAACTACATTGAAACTACATTGAACCTAAATTAAAACTAATTTGAGCCTGTATTAGAAGTACATTGAACTATATTGAACTTACAATGGACCTTATTGAACCTACATATGACCTACTTTGAAACTACATTGAACATAAATTAAAACTATTTTGAACCTACATTAGAACTACATTGAACTATATTAAACAAACAATGGATCTTATTGAACCTAAAATTGACCTACTTTGAAACTACATTGAAAATATTTTGAACCTATATTAGAACTACATTGAACCATATTGAAACTACAATGGACGTTATTGAACCTACAATTGACCTACTTTGAAACTACATTGAACATAAATTAAAACTATTTTGAAACTTTATTAGAACTACATTGAACTATATTGAACTTACAATGGACCTTATTGAACCTACATATGACCTACTTTGAAACTACAAAAAAAACCTAAATTAAAACTATTTTGAACCTACATTAGAACTACATTGAACTATATTGAACATACAATGCATCTTATTGAACCTAAAATTGACCTACTTTGAAACTACATTGAAAATATTTTGAACCTATATCAGAACTACATTGAACTATATTGAAACTACAATGGACGTTATTGAACCTACAATTGACCTACTTTGAAACTACATTGAACATAAATTAAAACTATTTTGAAACTTTATTAGAACTACATTGAACTATATTGAACTTACAATGGACCTTATTGAACCTACATATGACCTACTTTGAAACTACAAAAAAAACCTAAATTAAAACTATTTTGAACCTACATTAGAACTACATTGAACTATATTGAACATACAATGCATCTTATTGAACCTAAAATTGACCTACTTTGAAACTACATTGAAAATATTTTGAACCTATATCAGAACTACATTGAACTATATTGAAACTACAATGGACGTTATTGAATCTACAATTGACCTACTTTGAAACTACATTGAACACAAATTAAAACTATTTTGAAACTTTATTAGAACTAAATTAATCTATATTGAACTTACAATGAATCATATCGAACCTACTTTGAAACTACGCTAAATCTACATTAAACCTTTATTAACCTACTTTGAAACTATGATACACCTACTTTAAACCTACATTGAACCTATACTAAAAATAAATTAAACCTACTTTAAACTACATTAAACCTACATTGAACCTGCTTTGATCTCAACTTTGACAAGTAGAAAATCACACATTTTGACACTAATTTTCTCAGAAATAGAATTTTTTTTCCTTGGAAATTTATAATCACCGTGAGAAAATCTGATCAAAACTAATCAATATAATTAACATTTGATCGTCCAGTAAAAATCGAAGGTCATAGAAGCCTCTTTCGCCTCGTATATATGCGAGAAAGTTGAGGGCGGAAAGTACTAAAATAGTGGGAGGGGAAGTGGTAGAAGGCATAGGGTTGGTGGGGCTCTTGTATCTATACAACTTGGCTATACTACTGTCACTTTGTACAATGTCAGTTTAGTTTCAATCTTACAGCAAGTTTGAAGGCAACGCGTGTTACGGTGTAAGGAAGAATTAAACAAACACAACTTCAAAAACGTGAACCAAAATAATAATTTGTAAAAAAAAATTTTTTCTTTGGAATGGTGGTGTTACTTTATCAAATTGTTTTTTGAAGTCCAGTAGTGTGGTGTGCGGAATGAAGCTAATTTTTGCAGTGATCTGTACGCTAGTTCAATACGCCAATGGTGTTGGACTAGAAGTGATCTATCAGTGGAAATATCTTGATTGGGTATGGCCAAACGTCCCATTAACTGGCAGTGAATTTGTATTTGGTAATGCCTTTACGCAGGATGTTGATGTTGATAGAATTGGTCGGGTCTTCGTAACAAGTCCACGTTGGCTCAAAGGTGTTCCAATTTCACTTTCCACTTTATCTAATCTAGATGGACCTGGAGGTCCTTTGTTACTTCCATATCCTGATTGGACATGGTTTGTCCCCAACACTTGCGAAAGCATCATTTCTGTCTATCGAGTTGCGGTAATTAGATTTTTTTTTGTTCAATATTTTTTTTTTTTTTTTTATATATAAAACAAAACTTTTCGTCTCTTTGTAAATAAATTCTGATATTAAAGGATGGAAAACAAAAAAAAACTATTTCAATTAATTATGAATTGATTAATCAAGAGTATGTGGGTTTGTTTGAAATATATTTTATGAAAATATAGAGATAGAAATTGGGCGCGTAAATAAAGTAGAGAATTATGATTCAATTTGCAAATTTTGCGGCAACCTAATTTTATAATTAATTAAGGGATAATTGCAATTATCACTAAAACATCAATGGAGAACATTTTCCATTAATCTTCTTGATTACAGTATTGTGTATCATTGCATTGAAACATATAATGATATCGGCGAATAGGTGATGATGGATACTAATTACTAGACTAATAATAAACGAGAATTATAGCTGAACGTCCTCCAATGCATGCTACTGGAAAATATATTGCGAAATGTTCATGTAATTGTATGCTATTAATAGATATGCTTTGATTTGTTTTCCACCTCATTCAAAGTTCATCTTATTCTAATCATTTAAAAAAAAAAAAAATCATTGAATTACGTTCGCAGATAAAATATACATATTTTTATTTATAAACTCATGCTAAAATTGGTTACTTGACGACCTTAGTATTTTAATTAGTGTAATAATTAAGAATGTATTTATTGGTAGCAGTATAATTAAAAAAAATTGATTCTGAAAAGAAAATAGAATTAATTTTTAAATATAAATGTTTAGATTGATGAATGCAATCGACTTTGGGTGGTCGACAGCGGAAGGGCTGAATCAAAAGCTGTATGTCCCACAAAGATATTGATCTTTGATTTGAAAACTGATCAACTAATTCATAAATTTGTGATACCAGATTTTCAAACATTTTCGGGGAAAGCATCTTTAGTGACGCCAATTGTTGAAATTGGCAAAACTTGCCTTGATGCATATCTCTATATAGCAGATGTTGAACAAAATGGAATTGAAATTTACGATCTAAAATATGATCGCTCATGGAGATTAAATAATACAAAAGGAAATGCCTTTGGTCCTGATCCTGAAACTGAAGCAATGTTCATCACTATTGCTGGAGAACAATTTGATTTAACTGACGGTGTATTAGGAATGTCTTTATCACCACCAGGATTTTTCGATAGAAGGTAATAGTCAAATTTAACAATTAATTTTTTTCTTAATCAACATAATTATTTTCGAACATTTTAATTTATGAAATAATTTTACTTAAAAAATAGTAATAAATTCGTTATAGAAAAATTATACTTTTCCTTAGTGTAAATTAAAGGTTCGTACGGCTATTTTAAAAGTATATATATAACTAATTTGTAACTAATAACTGAGAGTACAGAATGCACGCGATTGTAATTAGCAACCTTGTTATTTCTGTATACATAAGATGAAAAAAAGGTAACTGCACTTTCAATGTTCTTAACTGATTCATGCAACGTTTAAGTAATAACTTATGTTTTTTTTATTATTTGCTGTGGTTAAAAAAACGCGATTTGTTTGTTTAATATTAGAGATTCATCAAATAAAAGATTTCCAAGAATAGAAGTTGAAATACATTTGGAATTCAAGGATATCTTTTATTGAAGAAAGAATAAATTTTATTATTATAGAGATTCATGTAAAAATATAAAAAGGAATAGAAAAAGGATTATAAAAAAATATAGAAGTCAAATTATTTTTAGATAATTCGAAATTCTCCTTTTCTTTTATATAAATTGCTTTACTATAAAATTTTAAAATTAGGATAGTTATTTTAATTTGAATATCGAGTGTACGATAACTAGCAAATATTTTATAACACAAAAGAGCTTGTCTTATCAAACGAAATTTTATACTTAAAATAATTTGAATTCATTAAAAAATAATTGCCTAATTAATTATTATTATTTTCTAAAACCCTTGTAGAAATTTCCCTATTAGGACCCTAGTAGAGAATGAAACGCTAATCAGGGCCACAAAAGGCGCGAAGTTTCATTCCCTAATAGGGCAGCCTGATCTGGCCCCGATCTGAGCCATTTCTGCAATTTTCGCAATTAATTGTGGAATTCAATAAATTGCAGAAATATTCTACATAATTTTCAATAAAAAAGAAACTGAAATTAATGTAAAAAAAAAAATAAATTATTTACAGATATCTCTATTTCAATTCATTGGCAAGCTTTTACCAGAAATTCACAGACGTGAATTCACTAAAAGAGAGTCTCTATAGGGAGCCTTTAGTTTTCGAATCGATTCAGAAGCGATCGAGTCAAGCTGGTGTTCAGGCGACTTCGCGACGTGGAATTTTATTTTTCCAGCTGGTCCAAAAAACCGCCATTGCTTGTTGGAATATCGAAAAACCGTTTACACCAGAAAACATTGTCACAATTGCACAAGACGAGGAAAAACTTCAATACGTGAGCGGTATCAAGGTTATTGTTAACAAGTACGGTGTCGAGGAATTGTGGTTCAATACAAATAGATTGCAAAAAACAATAAACAAAACACTCAGGCCAGACGAGATCAATTTTCGTATTATACGTGGTAATGTAGATGAAATAATTCGTGGCACTAAATGTGAACCAAGTGGTTTTAGAACAAGAGCACCTGATATCTCATCATGGCAACAAATATGATCTCCAATTAGAAAAAAAAAAAAAAAAAAAACTCGTCATTAGTCTGAGACTGATTTTATTACGAAGCGTTATATATTTAATCGTTCATTGTAATTATATTTTTGTAAATAAATAATTCTCTACTAAAAAAAAAATATTATAATATTAATTATTTTATTATGAATAATTTTGATACTAGAAAAAAAAAGGTAGAACTTGTTGCCATAATAAATTTTTTTTTAAAAATAATTTGTCATTCATTTCTTGTTAAAGAAAAATTTTTAATCTATTTTTAAAGGGAAATAAAATTACTTATGTATTTCATTATCCAATGTTGTTAAGATAATAATGAGGGACGAATTTTAAAATTAATTAATAATTTTAATTGTTTTTGAAATTATTATTTTATCAGTAATTTTTTAATTCTTAATTCCAGTTGACTTGTTGATTGCAAGTTCAGGTTATTGATTGCAACCGATTTTAATTGACTTTAGATTGCAGGTGATTTCAAAATGATTACAATTTTATATTACATATGTATAATTGAATTTAATTTAAAGATTTCATATCCGGTTGCAAAAGGTGTTTTTTTTCAGGCTCAGAGAATCACAATTTTTTTTTTCTTGCATGAATGATAAAAAGAATTATTTTTGAAATGATTGAGAGTATTTCTTTGGTAATTCAAAGACTTCACTTAGTGAATGTATTTCGTTTGAGGAAGAGAGTGAATCTGTTAGTGACTGTCAGTGGTGGTGTGCAACTATTTTGTTAACCATTTCATTGCAGACTTTCAAAACACGACGAATTCTGTAGTTGACGTCAGAATCCAAAGTTTCCTTCTAACGTTAATTCCGTTCCTTACATTCAAGTTTTACCCGGCTTTCGTCAAGTTCATTTGGGAGTGTCTTTATAGAAAACTTGAAACTCCTAAAGTTTTTTATGCAAATAATAATTATGAGAAAAAAAAATTGAAAAAAAAAACTGTTAATAATAAAAAAAAATCATATTATATGTGTTTTATAGGTGATTTTTGGAGCAATCTCTGGTGCGAATTACGATGAGCGAAAAAAAAAAATTTAGAATTGCAGAAAGATGGTGGAATCTCTCTTGGAAGTAATTCGGCACGTTTTCGTCCGTGACTAATTTGGTAAGAATCTCTCGCCCTCTCTATGACTGGATTGCAAGATCAGGCTTGTGGAATGTCGTCTTGGTCGCGCATAGAACGGTACGTGAGCTGAGTCTGGAGCATTCACTTCGCGTGCTCGTAAACAGTACACGCCTATCTAAGCACGTGGACGTCGTAAACAGACGAAGTCGCGAGTCCAGCCAAGCTGAAGAATCGATTATGCTCCCCTTCATTTCAAAAAGATGCACGCGACTCTTTGGAAATCTGCGATACTCAATTGAGACGAATTGCAAAAAATCAGATTTATTTTCATTTTTAACCATTTTTGCATTCAAGAAAATCCAATCATTTAAAATTAAAGTGATTGTAATTTTTTTCACAGCTTGTCTTTGTTTTTTCATGCGGAAAACAGTTTTTCTCTTTTATTTTATCAAGTGAAAGTTTCTCCAAAAAAAAAAATTCCTAATTTTAATTAACGGAAATGTATTTTTGGAATTAAATTAACATGAAATTAAAATTCGGTTTTTTTTTGGAAATAAACTAGTTGCAATTAAAGATCCTTGATCTTGACACTTTCACAATTTGAAATGTAACAATTTACATAAGTTGAAAAAAAAAGAGCTGTCAATGATCATGTTACACGATAAAAAGTTTCCTTGAGGAAACAAACTTTCAGAAGTACATCCTGCTTTGGTGGATATAAGACTCTCGTGTAAGAATTATGGATGGAAAGTAGACTTTTTGTAAAGCATAAAGAGTGTACTCTATATATACTCGAGACGATCACGCAACACCACCATAAATGTCCTTCCTTCTCTTCCTGTCTTTTTTTTTCTTTTTTTGAAACACGATGCCATAACTGGAAATGAAAAACAATTCTGAGGTTTCAGGATATAAATCAATTCAAGAATTAGGGCACAATAAATGAACAAACATGCTGATTTGCACTGGTCTCTTTCTCTTTATGATCTGTAATAAATGTTGATTTCGCCTGTACATATAGTGTGATCAAAGTGAAAGCAATTCGATTCGACTTATTCCAGCTAAACCTTGGAAAATGTTTTTTGCACTTATTTAAATTAATCGTAAAAGTCAATTGCATTTTTTAAATATCTGAATGTCTGATAAGAAAAATATATGCGACACTTTCCGTTGAATTACAACTTGGATTTTTTTTTTAGAAAAAGTTACTGATTTTCTAAAATTATTAGAAATAGCTAAATTAGCATGAAAAATAGATTTACTGGTGAATAGTCTATGACAATAAATATTGTTGTATTTCGAAAAAACAGTTGACCATTTGAATGGGGTTGAAAAATACATTCCACATTTTTGGGGTCAATCCGGCTTAAATATGATGAATAGTTAGAAAACACACGCTGTAGGTGTACAAACAATTGCTGTTTGTGAACTACACCTATTTCACATATATATAGGGAGACTCGATTTTTCACTCCATCTATAGAAAGTAATATTCTGCTCCTGCGTTGTTAGGAAATATTCAAAAGATATAAAATCTCCTATACCCTATGAAGTAATAATTCACCATAGTGAATTCAGTTACATCAAAGTTCGCAAGTTCTCTTTTATTAAAGTTACATAAGTTGAATGTTAAACAAAGACCTTTCTCAAACTTCTATATATATATCCTCAGTTACACAAAGTTTACCATTTTCCGGATAAATAAATCCCGTTAGTTTTTCGAAAATCTGTCTTTTACTTTGTTTCATAAGGGGAAAAAAAAAATTAAAGGACAAAATGTCGTTCGTTACTTTTTTTTCAACGACGTTCCATTGAAGCTTGCACGATTTTTATATATCGATATAGGGAGAAAGATGTGCCTTTTCTTCGTGCGGCCAGAAACAGTTCTTCTTAAACTGAGTTTGGTAAACCTTCTCGTACAAGTCAAACTTAGCGGGCGTTGCTGGCGGCGCGTCGAACTGGGGGTGTAAAGGGCGAAGGCGCCGTAAAAGTTGGCGAAGTCAATTTTGCAGTTGGAGTTGGTAATGCGATTTGTGCCGGAATAAATAGTTTGAGAGGGCCGACTCTCTCTCTCTCTCTCTTTCTCTCTTTTCAGAAAACTCTTTCTTTCTTGTCTAACCTTCAACTCACTCCAAGACTATCCAACTTTTCTGACGCAGGTATATGTCTACGTGACATTCACACTCCGGAAAATCTTCTTAAACTAGGATAATAAAAATGTCTTTCTTTTCGAGCTAAATTGTTTTTCAATATTACTCTTTTACATATACGATATCAAAAATTTTATCCATAAAAATTACTTTTATTTTTAATTTAAAAAAAAAAAACCCCTATCACGGCCCTAGTAGGGAATGAAACGCTACACCTGATCAGGGCCAAAATGTATTTCCTAATCAGGGCCATATCAGGCGAAGCGTTTCATTCTCCTAATAGGGCAGTCTGATCCGGCCCCAATCGGGGCCTTGACAAAAATTCTTCACGGGAAAACGGATCAATTAATCATGAAAGAATTTAATTGATTAAATGAATGAAAATGAATTCATATGAAAATATTTTATAAGTCGTAATATTTACCGACTTTGTGGATATATATTAAAGTTATATACAGCTTTCTGGGCGGCTAATTGTTAGAGGCTTACTTAATCCACATGAACGCAATAATAAGCGCCATCCGTGTGAAATATGGTCGTACTCTTTTGCGTATCTTGGAATCGTGCAAATGAAAACTTACGCTAATTAAACCGTTAATAGCAACCGCATATGTACGTAACGACCATAACGGTTACTTAATCCTGAGAAAATGAAACGTTCGCCCAGCGTGCGTGTAAACAGTGTACCATTGTGTATAATAATTATACCAATGGCGAACCGACACGCGCGTTACGCAAAGTACTTCTCTTTTGTGTTACATTCTTTTTAATTTTACAAAATAAAAAAAAAAAAAAATTCCAAACTTGATATTTAATTGCTTTTTGTAATTTTTCTCCTCCCTCCCATATAGGCATTGATTAAATGTAAACAAAAATTTCAATTATTTTTCCTTGTTTTTTAATTTAACAATTTTTCTAATTTAGTTTGATTGTAAATCTATTTTTCCAAACTAATTGGAATATATTACAGACAAGTGATAAAATAAAACATTTTTTCAATTTTTGATATTCAATTTGGAAATAATAATCCTCCACCTAGTTTTCTCTTCTAGGCCAAAAGACGCGCCACATTGACAATTCAGTGTTGTCCAGTTTTCCTCTCTCGCCAGCGACACACATAAGGCTATTCACTCTATTGAAAATCGTTACTTGTTCGAGTACCAAGCTCCAATTTGCGACGAATTTCAAATGGGACATCAGTTTAATTCTCTTGTACAATAATAATCGTACACTTTGTCCTCTTTATTAATCAAGATTTTTTTTTAGCCTTCCATCTTTTATATTGTTTTTCTTTTTTTTTTTTTATTATAAAATTTTACAAAAATTTTTATTTTAAATCCAAAGAAAAAAAATGAGTGACAACATTTTTTTTTTCAGTCATTTTATCATATATAAATATATAGTACTTTAATTATCGAAAGTGGCAGCAGAAGCTGCAATTTCTTCTAACGATGAAAATCCCACAGTGAGCTCCCGTGGGACCGCTATTTTTCCTTGCCAACCAGACACTACGACGTCGCTTAGCTCATGTTAGTCAAGTAGGATTACCGTAACGTCACCTGAATCTTGTAATGTTTTGTTACAGGCGAAGAACCACACAACATGGCTTCCTGAAGGCGAACCTGAGACCGTTTTCTCTCTCTCTCTCTCTCTCTCTTTTTCTCTCTCATCTACCTCAAAGCCGGAAGAGCGACGGCTCGCTAACAAGAACCTGAAAAGATCTTCCGAGAAAGATCGAGAATGATTTATCACGCAACCACGATTCTCCCAGCCGCTACCCAATTGCATTTCTTCTTTCTCTCATCTCCCTCCAAAACTTCATCCCTTTACATCCTGATCCTTTTTCTACACTCTTTACCATCCATGAGAACCAATTCAATGGTTTTTTTTTCTAATTTTAGTCTTTTTCTCTCCCAATCAACAATCGACGCTACTTCAATGAGAATAAAAAATAGACAAATTTTTAAAATTCTTACAATCACATAAGAAAA